ATGCTGCTGCTTTTGGCTGCATCAGCTGGGCAGGAGATCCAGTCTGATGGGTCCCTGCCAGGCTGGAGAGGTTGGAGCTGCCTGGAGGAGCCACCTCAGGGAATCACACAATGGTTTGGGTTGGAAGGGACCTTACAGACCATCTTGTTCCACCCCCTGCCATGGGCAGGAAGGTTTCCACTAGCCCAGGCTGCTCTAAGCCCCATCCAACCTGGCCCTGGGCACTTCCAGGGATTCCAGGGGCAGCCACAGCTTCTCCTGCCTCCCTTACATGGAGGTGACTGAAGGTGATTATATACCACCCTTTCATCCCACTTCTTGCACTTGCAGCAGCCTGCTGAGCAAATGACCAGAAGATGGGAAAGGCAAGACCTTCTGCTCTGCTCCTCTTACAAAAGGTGCCTGGAAATTCATAGTTTAAAACTGATTGTTAAACTCTGATTAACAGCACAGTTTGACAGTGACTGACCCTATGAGAATATGGAGCCTGATAAGGTCAGAGGTGTATATTGGGAAGAGAATCCAGATAAACTTCCTTCTCAGCTGCTAAGCACTGATTTCAGAGCACCAGGGACTGCTGGACTTGTTTTTTCTTTTAATTCTTGTTCGTGGCTGGGAGCATCTTCAGCTTAAAGTGCATCTCCTTGACCTCAGTCAACAGCTTCAGCCTCTTGCCTGGCTCCTTGCTCCCTGCCTGGAAAACAAATGGTGCTGGGTTTGTTGGAGGTGCATGGGAAATAAAAACCAGCTTGGGGAGGCTGTCAGAGTTTCATCAGAACGAGATATTTGTGCTCATTTGGGGCTGGTTTCACCCAAAAGCCCCAGGTCCCCGTGGGTGAGCAGAGTCAGCCCAGCCCTGCAGTGTGGGCAGTCCAGCAGCACGTGGGCTCTGCTTTAATTCCCTAGAAGATGACAAGAAAGTCCTAGTTAGGCGTGATCTTAATCTTGACATGGATGTTAATTAATCCTGATTCATTGTTCTAAGCCTGAGAGGCCAGGCAGGAAATGAGCAAAAAGCATTACTGAGGAAAAAAAAAAAAAAAAATCTCTGATTTCACACTTGAGGGTGTGGGGAGCAAAGCTTTGAAGATGCTGCTCTTGCTGCAGTGTAATATATTCACTTTTTTTTTCTGGTTTTGGCTCATGAAGTGCTCTTTTCCCTCACCCTTAGAAGCATCGGATGCAATTAAGCTCAGAAGCAATGGCCCTTTCCAGCTCTTTCCTGTCAGCAGGGTGAAATAGCACAGAAATGGGGGAATTTTTTTTTTTTTTTTTTTCATCTGAGTGGGTGAATATCCACTACAGAAACTCAGCTCCTCAGTGCTGGTACCTCCTGAGAACCACAGCTTTGCTGGGACCTGTTCTCAGCTGCTCAGTCAAGACCCTGCGTAGTTTCAGCTGCTGATTTAATTCACAGAATGTGCTGAGCTGGGAGGGACCCCCAAGGACCATCCAGTCCAACCCTCAGCCCTGCACAGGCCCAGCCCCAAGAGTCACCCCCTGTGCCCCAGAGGAGCAGCCAAAGCCTCCTGCAGCTCTGGCAGCCTTGGGGCTGTGCCCACTGCCCTGGGGAGCCTGTTCAGTGCCAACCAGCCTGGGGGGGAAGAACCTTGCCCTGAGATCCACCCTGAGCCTGCCCTGACACAGCTCCAGCCATTCCCTGGGGGCTGTCCCTGCTCCCCCCAGAGCAGAGCTCAGTCCTGCCCCTCCTCTGCCCCTGCCCAGGCACTTGGAACTGCACTGAGCTCTCCCCTCAGTCTCCTCTGCTCCAGCTGAACACACCAAGCGCCCTCAGTGTCCTCACACACCTTCAAATCCAGGCCCTTCCCCATCTTTGGACACTCTCCAATGGCTCACTCTCCTTTCCATTGTGTCCCCCCAAATGTTGAGGTGAGGCCACCCCAGGGCAGAGCAGAGCAGGACTTGGTTGCAGGAGATGGGATGAACCCCCAGCTTGGTGAGCTTGTTACTGCCCTGCTCAGGGTCACTGGGAAGAGGACTGGCCACATCTCCATATGAGGCCACTTGTGTGCTTTACAAAGTTCTTTCCGACCCAAACCAGAGATTTTTCATCTGAATGGTTTTGCAGGCTTTTATTCAGCGAGGAAGGAGGAGCAGCGAGGCCCTTCCCCGCCTGAAGAGGCTGATGAGGGCCCTGAGCTGTGCCTGTGTCTCCAGAAGGTCACAGAGGCTGTCATCCTCCCCTGGCTTAGAGAGGGGGATAGGAATTTCGGGGGAATTCGTATCTGTGGCTGAGATATGAATTTTTAACTTGAATTCAGCTGCTTTCAAAGGGTCACTGCCTGGAGGTAGAAGTTCTGCAGCCGTGCTGGGGAGGCTGAGAACACTCACTTCATCCCAAGTGCCTGGACTGCTCTTTTTTTTTTCACTTTTTTTTCCCTTTT